CAGGGCAACTGGCAGCCAGTCCATAAGGGGAGCTGGTTTCTAAACAGGCTCCCTTTTGGGCCCAGCTCCTGCCTGGCACGCCACACTGCTGCGTCTGATACAGAGACAGGAGCTCCTCAGGAGTTGGGCCAAAGTGCACTGGCTGCCGGCCTTGCCCTCGGGGACTACAGAATAGTTGAGTAACCAATAAGATTTCATGAGGTTAACTGACTATTAAATTAACTGGTATTTAACATCCCTAAATCAAACATGGTTTTGGGCCCAGCTCCTGCCTGGCACGCCACACTGCTGCGTCTGATACAGAGACAGGAGCTCCTCAGGAGTTGGGCCAAAGTGCACTGGCTGCCGGCCTTGCCCTCGGGGACTACAGAATAGTTGAGTAACCAATAAGATTTCATGAGGTTAACTGACTATTAAATTAACTGGTATTTAACATCCCTAAATCAAACATGGAAACACTGCTTATAGGGGGGGAGGGCGGGAGGGAGGGAACAAGAAGGCAGGATGAAGTCACAGCTGCTACTGTCCCATGAGAGTCACTCCAAGGAATGGTATAGAAGCGTTAGATCTACCATAGCTTATAGCTATTTTCACTGCTCTCAGTAGGAACACTGCCTGCCTGAAAACTAACAGCTACATACAAAACTGTCTTTCAGGTTATATGCCACAATGAATCAGATCACAGGTGATCTAGTCCAGCATACCATCCCAACAGCAGCTAGTATTCAACGTAGGGATGTTAAATACCAAGTAACTGACTAATCAAATAGTCAATGCATTTTGCATCGATTAGTCAATAGGGTGCCTCCGCCTTTGAAGTGTAGCAACAGCCCTAGGGCTGTTGCTACACTTCAAAGGCCAAAGCGCCATGTGGAGCCTGGGTCAGCTGAGGATTTCCCCGCTGACCCCAGGCTCCATGCAACATTGCCGCTTTGAAACGCCACGGGGAGACCAGTGTCAGGCTCCACGTGGCATTTCAAAGTGGCAGCACCACACGGAGCCCACGGTCAGCAGGGGAGTCCCCAGCTGATCCCGGGCTCCACGCAGCACTGCCGCTTTGAAACACTGGGTGCAGCCTGGGGATACCCCAGCTGGCCCTGGACTGCATGCAACGTTTCAAAAGCAGCAATGCTGCATGGAGCCTGGGGTCTGGCCCAGGCTGCACATGGTGCTTTGAAGTACCCCCTCTGATAGAGGCAGCAAGGGGAGGGGGAAAATGACTAGTCTGCCTTTGAAGTGTAGCAACAGCCCTAGGGCGAAAGTGCCGCACAGAGCTCGGGATCAGCTGGGGACTCCCCCGCTTATCCCTGGGTTCCATGCAGTGCTGCCGCTTTGAAACTCAAGAGGGGAGCCTGATGCGGGGTTCCCCGTGCCGTTTCAAAGTGGCAGTGCCATGTGGAGCCTGAGGTCTGGATCCAGGCTTCAAGCGGCATTGCCACTTTGAAGTGCCCCGTCGTCCTCCCCCTCTTGCTGCCACTTTCCGATAGAGGAGGGGGGGGTCAGGGGTGAAAAGCGACTAGTCAACTCACATGTTGACTATCCGATAAGTATTTGCTTATCGGATAGTTGACTAGTCCTTCCATCCCTACTTTGGTTTATATGTAGATCCACCACAATTCTCCGCCCTTTCTTACGGCATCAAGGTTGGGGGCTATCAAGTGGTAGGAAAGAGCATCTCAGAACAGAACCTTCTGCAGGATTTGCAGGAGAACTTCTTTTGTGTATCCCCCTTTTGTTTCATCATCCTTCTTGCATTTCCATCTTAGCTAGAAAAGAAAAAGCTGCATGTTAGTTTTGACCATTTCAACTCACATTGCTGTACTGAAGATGGTTCTTGCCAGCTACAGAATAAGCATATGTCTCCTGTTGATATTTATATCCACCATGCTACCAAGATAGTGATTTTAATATCAGCATGTACAGACTACAGGAAACAAGTTATACAGAGGCACAGGGCTAAACAGTTCTCAGTGGAATAAAAAAACCCCAAAAAACCTTACTTTACATTGTAAAGCACCTGAAAGTAAAGCAATAACTATATGCTCCCAGTGTGTAAAGTGCACACATCTGATTTCCAAGCTTATGGTTCCTGGTTTTGAGATCAGGCTACAGGGAAGAATAAAGTTGGAAGATGAGAGTGGAGAGTTTCAATAAGCACTGAGCATGCTGGACAGAGGAGTTTCAGCTTTCTCTTAGACTGCAGGTATTCCGAGTCTGGGTGAAAGGAGAGATGCCCCTTTTCTGGCAGTGAGCACCAACCAGTTAACAATACTACACAAATTAGTAGCCAGGCCTGTCATGTGGCCCAATTTTTTTAAAGATGTCTTACTTTGAGTTTGGGAGTTCCTTTGCCTTCTACACCATTCCCATGTTTCCCTAGGAGGCAAACAGGAGAAAGTGAAAACACCAGGGGGAAAACACAAGGATAAACAGTAACACTACACAGTTTGTCAGTGCAGATGTACAAGGCAATAGCAATCCTGTCTTTTGGGCTTCTTCCCCACTCAAGTTTCCCACTGTTGTTGCTGACCATGGTTCAACAGCTTAGCATAGACAAGACGCTGGTGGCTGCCAGTATTTTTCTACCATGCTGTTTAGACTTGCTCTAATCAAAGTGAGACACCACTAAAACTGAAGGTGGCGAGAGAAACCTGTCCACTCTTGCTCCTAGCAGCAGAGCTGCACTGGTGGTAACAACCGTGAGAAATGTCAAGGAAAACAAAATAAGGCTAGTGTAGACCACAGAATTAATTCTGTAGGCCAGTCTGTGCTGCTGAGGGATTATTATACTTTGCCCTTCCATCACATCTTCTACCCAAGGATCTCAGAGCTCTTTCAGAAAAAGGCTTCTTCCTTGTAGAAAGAGGATTACCGCTCTTGGAAAAACCTCTGTTCTTTCGATTTTCTTTTGAAAGAACGTGATTGCAGTGTAGACATAATTCAAGGTTTTTTTTGGAAAAACAGCTGTTTTTCTGAAAAAACTCTGTAGTGTAGACATAGCCTTTCCAGAAAAACAGCTGTTTTTCTGAAAAAACTCTGTAGTGTAGACATAGCCTTTCCAGAAAAACAGCTGTTTTTCTGAAAAAACTCTGTAGTGTAGACATAGCCACGGGTGTCTAAGAAGTGGCCAAGATAAGGGAGTACAGCCATACTGGACATCTCCCTATTCAGTGTGCTACCCATGTAAGTCAGCTCATGAAAGATCTGGGACTCTAAACTTGCAGTTTGGATGACGCCTCCAATCACATTTGCCATTACCTTGGACTCGCTGCTCTCTCTCAAGTCGGATCTGGTCCTGAATGAGTTTCTGCTGCTCTTCTAGCTGCCGGGAGCCCTCTTCCCGCAGGCGTATTACCTACAGGGGAGACAGGCGTGAACAAACACCAGTTATGTTACCAAGAGTCTGCTAATTGATATGTAATTGTGACGGGGAGTCTGCCCCACACTGGCCCTTAAAGAGTAAAGCCAGCCCTGAGAGAGGGCTGAGTGCAAAAATCACTGCTGAGGTAGACACTAAAGGTTAGGGCCCAACTGGGGGCTGTATAAAGAAGAGCTCAGGCAGGGAGGTGATGACACACACACTCTTGCTCTAGCTGAAGAGCAAGGAGGGCCTGGCTGCCAGAGAAGCGAGAGCAGCGGTTCCCAATCTTTGCCACATGGGGACCCATTTTGACAATTCAGGAAGACTTGGTGACCCAAGGCAATTCAAAAACGGGGGGGAAGAGAAGGGGCAGAGCCACCTGGGGAGATATTTGGTGACCCTTTTGAAATGTAATGGTGACCCATATTTGGATCCCGACCCATAGGTTGGGAAACCCTGAGCTAGAGGCTTCCTGAGATGGGGCAGGGCTAGGAAGAGGCAGGCAGAGCTGGGGAGCTCTGACCTGACCTCACTCCCAGGCTGCAGGGCCTGAGTGTACTGAGGTTGCAAGGTCACAATCAGACAAAAGGCAACAGGTTCACACCTGTCAGCCGACGGTCAGGGCAGTGTGTGTGTGTGTGTGTGTGTGTATGTGTGTGTGTTACCGAGAAAAGGTTTAACGTCCGTGCCTTTACCGCTAGGACCGGGGTCCCGTCACGGAGGGCAGCCAACAGGCTGACAGATGCCCCAGAGTTTATAGGAAGAGCTTATTACATCTCAGATTTCAGTTGCTAGGATACAGGATCCCTTCGCAGTGGGCAGTCTAGGGAAGACTGAACCTGGGAGTGACACGATCCAAAATGCCCAAGCACTTCCTATACCTATCCCTTATGACCGGCTGAAGTTCTTTTAAATTGTGCTTGGTTCTGTTACAGCAACTGAAGGAGTCAGGTTAAAAACTTAAACAGTTACAGGTTTATTAAAGAAGACTTATAAAGCATATGGTTACAATGGCTATTGCTCTATTTCTTAACTGCTAGCAAATATAGATCTTAAAAATGGTTACAAAGAAAATAAAGATAGAAAATAGAAATAATGGTACCAAGTGACAGCTTAATCTTTAAAGAGCTCTAAGTCTATGTGTACACTTAAGACAAAGGACCACATCCAGGTACAAGTTTTACCCCCTTCTGTGCCTCTCGGTCCCAGCGTGTCAGGCCAGGGCCGGTCCCTCAATAACTAGGAAAGACGGATACGAGGTGGGCGGGAAAGCCCTTTTTGACTATTCCACCCCTGTCCATAGTGGCAGAATGAAGCGAATGTATTTATTCATCGGCCTGGGGTTTCTGCTCTGGGCACGCTGCCCAGAAGAAAAAGCCCGGGCTCTGCTTCTGGGCCTTAAAGGTCACAGCCAGGTTTAGCTGCTAGAGGAGTGGCAGATGCCAAATCTGGGCTGCGAGAGGAAGATAGCTAAATTGTGAGTACTAGACATTTTTTTACTGAGCGAGAGATTCCTCCCCCCGCGGACGGCTGTGTGTTCGTATCAATATGGGTTTTAGTCAAGGGCACTCCTCGGCAGCCTCGATAGGATGCAAAATCCCTTCGCAGCGGGCAGCCTAGGAAAGACTGAGAGATGCCCCAACGGATCTGTCACCTGGGAGTGACACAAATCCAAACGCCCACTTCCTATACCTATCCCTTATGACTGGCTGAAGTTCTTTTCAATTGTGCTTGGTTCTGTTACAGCAACTGAAGGAGTCAGGTTAAAGCTTAAACAGTTACAGGTTTATTAAAGAAGCTTATAAATCATATGGTTACAATGGCTATTGCTCTATTTCTTAACTGCTAGCAAATATAGATCTTAAAAATGGTTACAAAGAAAATAAAGATAGAAAATAGAAATAATGGTACCAAGTGACAGCTTAATCTTTAAAGAGCTCTAAGTCTATGTGTACACTTAAGACAAAGGACCACATCCAGGTACAAGTTTTACCCCCTTCTGTGCCTCTCGGTCCCAGCGTGTCAGGCCAGGGCCGGTCCCTCAATAACTAGGAAAGACGGATACGAGGTGGGCGTCCTCATGGAACCTCGGGAGGTCAAACACCTAACCCGACCAGCAGATAGATGGTAGATTGACACTCAGAGTAAATGAGCTGCTGGACCCATCTTTATACCCCTGGGGGCCCGTATCCTCTTTCTTATCTTAAGATGCCAAATTGTACTGGTCCGTTTTGTGGCACCAGTTCTTAGAAGGGAGTTTGAAATAATTTACACTTGTAAAGAGGAAGATAGCTAAATTGTGAGTACTAGACATTTTTTTACTGAGCGAGAGATTCCTCCCCCCGCGGACGGCTGTGTGTTCGTATCAATATGGGTTTTAGTCAAGGGCACTCCTCGGCAGCCTCTTGGTCAGTAATTGGCATATCTCTGTTTACAGCCATTCAGGGTCACAGCAGCCTGCCATATCCTGAGCCTCCTGCTCCAAGGCTTTTACTGTTCTGTGTGCCCTGCATGCTCCAGGCAAGCAAAGATGGATATTACTGAGGGTTCCTGTTTGGCTACAACCCCCTTGCCAATAATGAGTGACCATTTCAGACTGCAGTTTGCCCATGAGGTGAGGGGCTAGATGATGACTGGCAGTGGGTCACTGAGGCAAGGTGGGCACAAGGGGTTTGCCCCCCATAACTCTTGCTGGGGCTCTTGGTGCTTGCCTCCACTGCTTCTGCCTCTGCAGCTTCAACCAAAGTTTGGGGCATCCATTTTTCTGGAGGCCTAGGCAGCACAAAAGTGAGGATGATAATCTTGGAACTCCACCACCACCATCACCTTTTGAGACAGGACCCACAGGCTTACTACACTGAAATTTTAGATGTAAACATCTGAAATCATGAAACTGACCAATTTTTAAAAACCCTGATCATGAAATTGACCAAAATGGACCATGAATTTGGTAATGCCCTATTCATGAGGCTGGTATTATTCCACAGGAACCATTTATTCCAAAAGGCTGATGAACTGCTACAGTTCAGAGAGATTTGTTGGGTCTCAGCTCATCACCACAGCTACATGTTAAAAGGCTTTCAACCACCTGTCTGCCTCAAAATAACACAACATATAAATCTTTATTACCTCTTGTTCTAGTGTCCTGGTTATTCGGATCTCTTCCTCTTCACTCACATGAGCTTGGGCTTCTCGTTCCCGGGCTTCAAGGTCTGCAGAAAACCACATCCCCAGTTATTGTCATTATTGTCTATAAAACCAGGCTGCACGACACCAGAAGCTAGAGATCCTTTTCCAGATCTGGCTGTTTCTAGGGTTCGTTCCCTCAGGTCTCTGCCTGATGCCTCTCCTGCCTCCCTTATGTTTAGGTGAAGCACTGAGCCATCAGTAACAGTCCTTCACCAGTGCTTTCCTGGATCAGCCACTGCTAACAGCATAGGGGAAATTCACACAATCACAGTTCTATAAAGAATGATTCAAGAAAGTTCAGCTATTATTGACTGAAGCTATGTTGAGACTGCAGGCTTTTTGCACAAGAAGCTTTTGTCGGAAGAGATCTTCCGCAAAAACTTCTTGCACAAGAGCGTGTCTACACACAAAAGCGCATCGAAAAAGCGATGGGCTTTTGCGAAAGAAAGCATTCAGACTGATTAGACGCTCTCTCACATGAAAGGCCGCCCAGAACTTCAGCCAGGGCTTTAGGTCATCAGTTGCTTGCAAGGGCTGGTGCTGGAACCTTGAACAGCCATTTCTCTGCTGCTGCTGCCGCCTGCGCGCGGACCTCTTTGAGGGACAGCAAAGCTTCAGCAGCGCCTGCTGGGGTTGCCCTGTTCTTTTTTGGATGCCACAGCTTTTTCATGTGCGTGTCATGGAGCCAGAGCCGCCTCTGGGCAAGTGATGGCCCCACACGGCCACATTTGCTGCCATCTTTGCTTCCTCTTCATGGAGGACCTGGACCCCAAGCTCTTCCTGGGGACCCTCTCTGTGGCAACAGCTGCTCCAGTCTGGCTTTTGCACCCCACTGTAGAGAGGCTGGAGATCAGCTCAGACTAGTGGGACCAGCTGGTCCTGGAGCAGTGGGATGACCAGCAGTGAGCACAGAACTTTCGAATGCACAAGGCCACCTTCCTTGAGCTCTGTGCCAGGCTCACTCCCACTCTCCAGAGATGCGACACCCACCTGCAGCCCGCCACCCCCCTGCAGAAATGGGTTGCAATCGCCCTGTGGAAGTTGGCCACCTCAGACAGCTACTTGTCGGTGGGCAACCAGTTGGGGGGAGCGGGGGGGAGAGAGTCCACCGTTGGGGCCTTCCTTATGAAGGTAAGGAGCTTTCGGGCTGCAGTCCCTGCACTGAGGTGGTGGGGGAGAGGAGAGAGTGCTTGACAAGGGGAACCCTTGGAAGAGTGAGACTGGGGACTGTAGGGGGAAGCCCTGTCCCTGCGGAGCTTGTGCAGTGCTGCCCTTACACAGCCCTGCTGCTAGGAGTGAGCAGGAGTAGGCTCATAGGAGATGGCTCCTGGGTTTGTTTTTTTTCAGGGGGGCCCACAGGAGGGGAGGGGGACAGGCACCTCCCATGGGCCGAGTCACCCCCTCTCTCATTCTCTGTTTTGTGTGTTTGTCTCCTTCTGCAGGTGGCGAGGACCATCAACTCCCTGCTGCTGCAGAGAGTCGTCACTCTGAAGGACCTGGACACTACCATGGCTGGATTTGCTGCCCTGAGGTTCCCCAACTGCGGGGGAGCTATCAAGGCGAGGCACGTCCCGATCAGAGCACCAAACCATCAAGCAGCCCAGTTTATAAATAGGAAAGGCTACTATTCTGTTGTCCTGCAGACCCTGGTGCACCACCGGGGCCAATTCACAGATATTTTTGTGGCGTGGTCGGGCAGGGCACACGGTGCCTGAGTGTTTAGGAACTGCGGCCTGTGTGCCGAGCTGGAGGCAGGTACCTTTTTCCCATGCCAGGACTTTGCTGTGGGTTACCAAAACACGCCAGTGTGCATAATGGGGGATGCGGCATACCCACTTATGCCCTGGCTAATGAACCCTACCTGGCAACCTCGATCCCAGCAGGGACCTATTCAATGCCCGCTTCAACTGAGCCAGGATGCAAGTAGCATGTGCCTTTGGATGCCTTCTCACCCGCCTGGACGTCAGGGAGCACAACATCCCCAAGAGGGTGGTAGCGTGCTGTGTGCTTCACAATATTGTGGAGAGCAAGGGGGAGGCCTTCCTCCCAGAGTGGGGGGCAGCCGCCAGCCGCGAGGGCTGTGCTTTTGAGCAGCCCCAGACAGCTGCCACCCACCAGGCCAAGGTGCGCATCTGGGAAGTCTGGAGAGAGAGGTTCTCTCAAGCAGCCCAGTATCTCTCCCCAAAGCCTCCACAACAGGGGCCTCTGCCTTGTTGCTCTATCCCTTTCCCCTCTCAACCGCTCCCTTTTCCCCTTCCCTCACCTCCCAATAAACACACGTTTGGTTTCAGAACAAAAGAAGTCTTTTTTAATTGAACATTAAAAGGTAGGAAGGAACTTGGAAGAGTGGGGCAGCTTGAGATGCCCTCTTGGGTGCAGGGACCTTGTCAGGGTTGTGTTGCTCTGGGGGCCACAAAGGGGGAGCAGGAGGAGGGGCCAGAGCAGGGTCAGAGTTGGCAGGAGGAGGGGCCATAGGCATCACTTGGGGAGGGAGCATGGGCATTGTTAAGGAAGGGAGCAGAGGTATTGCAGGGTGGGCTGGAGGATGGGCAATGGCCACAGGAGGTGGGGGCAGGAGGGCGGAACTCAGGAGCAGTGGCATCAGGCGGGTGTGTCACCATGCGGGACATGATGCCACGCATAACGTCTCTGCCCCTCCAGGTCAGCACCAACCCTGCGTGCCAGAGTGTGCTGGATGTCCCAGAGGACGCTGATGTGCTGGTGCATCAGGTCCTTCTGCATCCTGGCTCTTCTGTGGGTCCTCCGTACCCTGGCAGATGGCTGCGGTGGTGTGGCTCGGCCCCCTGTCCCAGCTGTGGAAACACAAAAGGAGGGGGGGTCAGGCAGGCATTGTTAAGGAAGGGAGCAGAGGTATTGCAGGGTGGGCTGGAGGATGGGCAATGGTTTAATTGCCGTGTGTCCCAAGTAGGATTCAGTCAGGCACAGCATGAGTGCTCCCAGGGCTAGCTGGGGGCTATGCCGGGGAAAGCGGCAAGTGCTTCCAAAAAAGGGGGACAGCAAGACGTATTGGTGTGTACCATCACAAAAAGAGCACTGCATTATGCTCATGCATTCGAAGTTTCTCAGGTTACTATCTCAGTGACATCTGGTCAAACCCAATGGTTTTCTTCCTCCTCCTGCTCAACTGCTCAATTTCAGTAGTCTTAGGCACTATCTGTAACTGGGGTGGCCAAACATACTGACTCTCCAAGCAGCATATGATAATCTTCAGTAGTTCAGGCAGCAACCACCACATTCCGCGGCTCAGAGAAGAGGGATGTCCTGGGTGCAAGACCATGCATGCCCAAAGGACCATGCTGCCTGCTTCCCACCCCTCTCTACACACACACACACACACACACACACACGCGCGCACACACGCGCGCACACACACACACAAAGTGTCCTGACACAGTGGGATCCCCTCATGGGCAGCAGAGGAGCCATGAGCAGCCTGGCCATCCCTGGGGGTCTACTCACAC